TATAAACAAATATAATTAAAAAAGAAATATATTATATACATGTATATTCTATATATATTAGTTAGGAGGACCATCACTATATTGCTGCTATTTCTACTGATGCTTTTACCGCTGCTGCTGGTGCTGTTGCTGCTGCTGCTACTGCTGTTGCTGCTGCTGCTGCTGCTGCTGCTGCTGTTTTTCTTTTGCTGCGCTTACGGCCGAATCTCCCCCAGGGCCCCGCCCTCTTAGAAAAGAAAGGATCCGTAAGAATGTTGAGGGGCCCCCAGGGGCCCCCCGGGGCCCCACTCGTCTGCAGCAGGAAGGTACCGTGCCCTATATACTGTACCCTAAGGAGGCCCCTCGGTATATCAGCAGCATCAGGGGGAGGGGGCCCCTCTGGCAGGCACAGCAGCGCAGGCCATACAGCGGGGGGTTTATATTGGGGGGCCCCTTCAGGGGGCCCCTGGGGGCCCCCCTGAGGAGACTCCTGGGGGGACCCTGCGGGGGCCCCTTGAGGAGGGTCTCGGGGGGCCCCGGGGGCCCCTGGGGCCCCCTTGGGGGGCCCCAACAGGGGACCCAGGACCCCCCCAAGGAACCCAGAAGAAGGGAGCCATTGCTGGCAACGATAGCGGGCAAGAGCAGCCGCCTCTCGCAGCGTAAGAGAAGGCCAGGGGCCCCCAGATGGGGGGCCCCCAGACGGGGGGCCCCCCACTTTGGGGGCCCCCGCTCCCGGCAAGGGGGGCCCCCATGTTGGCTCGAAGTGAACGATGAAACATTTCAGAAGGGCCCGGGGTAAACCCAGCAGGGGGCCCCCCTTTATACCCTTGAGGGGGCCCCCCATCCTTTGCTGGTAATATAGCTCGGGGGGGGCCCCCAGCAGGCAGATCGGTGTGGGGGGCCCCAGGGAAAAACCCTAAGAGTAAACTATTAGGAGACGAAATATTAATAAAGGGACGTAAACCCTAGAATGCAGAGCTTAGGGTTTAGGGTTTAGGGTTTAGTGTTCAGGGTTTAGGGTTTAGGGTTTAGGGTTTAGGGTCTGCCAGCCAGTTGCTTAGAGGCGGGGCCCCAGCAGGTCACGGGGCCCCCAGAGCTGGGGGCCCCCCAACCCTATCAAGACTTCTGTGTAATAGTGCTAAACCCTAAACCCTAAACCCTAAATTCTAAACCCTAAACCCTAAACCCTCGCGATAGTCAGGTGTATCTGCTGCTCTCTGGTTTTGGGGGGCCCCCTAACCCCTAAGGGGGTACCTGTCTTGCCCCTGGGGGCCCCCCAAGAGGACCCTATATGATGAAGCGGGGGCCCCCCTCCTCAACTAGCCGGCCGGGGGGCCCCCCCTTCCTCTCACCGTTGTTAGTTTCCTTAGACCCTCCTGGGGGCCTTCGGGGGGGCCCCCAGGTGGGGCCCCCAGGGGCCCCCCCAACAGAAACGGATTGGGGGGCTGAGGGGCCCCCCGTGCTGCCTCGGCTGCAGCAGCAGCAGCTGCAGCAGCAGCGCTCGCTGCGCCTGTGGCTGCAGAAGGTCCTTCAAGACCCTCCTAGTAAACCCTAAACCCTAAACCCTAAACCCTAAGTTGTTGTTTTTTTTGTTTTCTTTGGGTTGGTTGCGGTGTCTATACATCTATCTCAGGTCTCGGGTGTATGTACACCTCAGCTGTCTCCGTCTCTTCTGCGCTGCTTGCAGGCGAAGAGACAGCAGAGACAAACGCAGCGGCAGCAGCAGGAACACCCAGTAAGCTGCTCATCGTAGGGTTTAGGGTTTAGGGTTTAGGGTTTAGTGGTTAGGGTTTAGGGTTTAGGGTTTAGTGGTTAGGGTTTAGGGTTTAGGCTTTAGGTGCGAAGGTATTGTACAATTTAGGGTTTAGGGTTTATTCTTTGGTGCTTAGCGTTTCCGGGTTTAGGGTTTGGGGTTTCGGGTCTCCGAGTCTAGGGTTTAGTGTTTAGGGTTTAGTGTTTAGGGTTTAGGGTTTAGGGTTTAGGGTTTGTGTGGGGCGCAGTTGGTGGGGCCCTTCCCAGCTGTCTCCCCGTGTGGGGGGCCCAGGAGACAGAGACAGAGGAAACGGAGACAGACACTGCAGCGGGAGACGTCATCATGGAGATGCTCGATCAGTTAGCTGTCTCCTTTTGTCTCTTTTTGTCTCCTTTTGTCTCCTTTTGTCTCTTTTTCTCTCTTTTTCTCTCCTGTCTCCGCCTGTCTCCGCCTGTCTCCTCCTGTCTCCTCTTGTTTCCTTTTGTCTCCTTCTGTCTCCTCCTGTTTCCTTCTGTCTCTGCCTGTTTCCGCCTGTCTCCCTCTGTCTCCCTCTGTCTCCTTCTGTCTCCTTCTGTCTCATTCTGTCTCCTTCTGTCTCCCTTTGTCTCCCTCTGTCTCCTGTCTCCTTCTGTCTCCCCCTCTCTCCTTCTGTCTCCTTCTGTCTCCTTCTGTCTCCTTCTGTCTCCTTCTGTCTCCTGCTGTCTCCTCCTGCTTCCATTTATCTCCTTTTATTTGTCTATCTGCAACTTGTCTCTGACTTATTTATATATCTTTTTCTTTCTC